AAAAATAGCTTTCTAATAATGAAAAATTTTCATTGTAAAATAATAAAATCTTGCTTTAGGATATTGATATTGAGGAACAGGTAGAACACCTGCTTTATAGGCTTTTTATAGTAAGAGATTTGCCCCAAAAGAAATCATGTATATATTCAGGGAATGTGGTTTAATCTGTATTTTAATAAAATTCATAGAATATTTAATGTACACATTTTTATCATATTATAATACATAGAAACTATATTTCCCAAAATAAAAAGTAGGACACTTGATCCAATAACGGGTTATTGTACTGCCCTCAGCTATGTGAGATAATAACCTGGACATAAAAAATGTTAACTTTTCTAGAACATTTCAATGGATTTATATGATAGGAGAGAATATTTGAGATTAGTGTTCTTCTGTTAAATATAGCTTGTATGCTCATCATAAATATTCTAATAGATTTATACAGTAGACATAACAGCAGAGTAAAGAATAACCATTTTAATGGCAAATTCTTAATACTGACTTAATTTTGTAGACCTAGACTCCTTGGTATTATGGAAACTTCTCACTGGAAAAGGATTAGAGGTGAATATGTCCCAAATGAACATCTCAAAAACAGACATTAAAATGAAAAATATGCAGTATGTCTCTGTTTAGGTTAATGGTTAGGTAAACATTTTTAGATTAATGGTTAGGTAAACATTTTGAAATGAGTGCAAATCCACGGAGTAGAATACGACCCATTGATGCTTTTTATCCCAACAAACTTCCACTGTAGTAAGACACTTTCACCATTGTAATAGTGCAGGTTTTCAGGTGGGCATGTGGAGACCATTTCTCCATAACTCGTGCCTGAACTACCTTTGGCTAGTATTTATATTTTCAAAATGCTTTGAAAGTTTTATTGAGTGCTGAAGCCCCTGCTAGCAATTAATAAATATTTGTAAAGTGTTATGAATGAATTACAGAGGTCGTTTTTGTAAGGTTTGTTTTTAAAATTCTCAGACCCTTTCAACAGATATTA